ATATTGAACTTCTGCAGAGGCCTCCTCAGCTGGTAGAGATTGAACTTCAGTTGGGGCCTCTTCTTCAGGGGCCTCATCAACTGGTAGATATTGAACTTCTGCAGAGGCCTCCTCAGTTGGTAAATATTGAACTTCAGTTGAGGCCTCCTCAGCTGGTAGAGATTGAACTTCAGCTGGGGCCTCCTCTTCAGGGGCCTCGTCAACTGGTAGATATTGAACTTCTGCAGAGGCCTCCTCAGTTGGTAAATATTGAACTTCAGTTGAGGCCTCCTCAGCTGGTGGAAACTGAACTTCAGCACAAGGCTTTTCTGAAGGAGACTCTTCAGCAGGGATAGACTCTACTTTAGCAGGGGCCTCTTCTGCAGAAGCTTCCTCAGCTAGTGGAGACTGAAGTTCATCAGGGGCCTCTTCTACCCTGGGAGGCTGTACTTCAGCTGGAATGTCTTGCTCATTTAAAAGTACTGGAGTACCTTTTTTCATTTGCTGACTAAATGAAGATCGGCTGATACTTTTCTGCCTCATGTCTTCCTTGCTGCTTGTTGGGGGTTGAAATTCAGGATGCTCATTAATGAAAATTTTCCCAGAGGATTTATGTTTCTGCACACCCTCCTTTGACTACTTGACCTTCCAAAAGCCACTATTTCTGATTCACTAAAGTAAGTCTGCTGTTCCTTGTCCACCTTTTCTATTTGAGGAATGATAATCATTGTCCAGTCTCCAGTACAACTGGTCTGCTGAGATCTGTCTATCTTGAGTTGAATTGAGTGGCTTGGTGGAATTTCTACTTCCTGGACACTCTCTGGAAATTCAGGGGCTGCCGCCCTAACAGCAGCTGGCTTTTCTTCAGGGGCCACTGCTGCACCAACTGACTTGATTACTTTTTGTTTCTCTTCTGCAGTAGTGTCTGTCTGCAGAGATTTATCTTTCCTATCTTGTACAAGCTTTCTCTTTGTCCAAGTTTGCTGAAGCTGAGCAGATATTCTAAAAGATTCATGGTTGACTTTGCTTCCAGGAATATTACCAATACTAAGGGTAGCTTTGGGGCCAGATGACTGTGGTATGGGCAAATGTTTCTTTTTGTCTGTCACTTCAGTCTGTTGGGATTTGTCTACCATTGGTTGGCTGGTTCTTCTTCTCTTTCGAATTTCTTGCCTCTTTGCTGAGATATGCTGATCAGGTTCATCACTTTCTTCCATATTAAAAACTTGTGAATTTCAAATTTATTAATCATCAGGATCAGAAATGTACCAGATGGTTAAGCCCTTACCCTTCTTCATTAAGTGTCGTTCTGTTGAGCTTCCTTGAAAGAAAGTAATTCATAAATTACTGCATTCTGTATTATATTCTTATTGGACCCCACCTTACTCAGTAAGCATCTTTCTTGTTTAGTCTCTGATATAACTAAATCTCACTTCTAGAAGTTTTCTTCAAGGGTCTATGACATCACAGCCAATTCTCACTACAATGTTCCATCAGTGGTATCTCTAGCACTTTTTAACTTGGTAAACACTCATGGACGATGGCTGAAAGTGATATATCTGCTGTTTAAAACATCAAGTTGAAAAAAGAATTTGTCTATCAGAGGAATATCAAGTAAACTCTAGTAATGCTGCTTTCTAATAGTTAAAGTTGATGCTTTTGAACTTTCAATTCTGTTCTTTTCTTCCTACTATCAAAGACAGTTATATTGCAGATCTCAGAATGTTGTAGGCTATTTTCAATTGTTGGAGAAAATAACTGCTGATATGTGTCACAATGTTTTATTAATGTATGTTTATGTGATTTGAAAGAAAGTGAATACTGTTTGAAAAACTTGAGTTCTGAGGTCTGTATCCATGTTAGGTTCCCTCTTATGTCCTTAGCACTCAGTACCCACAAGAGATTACTGTCTGTCTGTCTATCACATGTTTGCCATCCTATTTTATTTTCAACTATTTCAGAAAACAGTTCTAATCAAAGTTTGCCAAATAAAAAAATGTCGAGTCTAAAGATATATCAAATGAAATAAAATGCATTTTTTATATAGTCACTATATACTCTACTGAATAACTACATGGGAATGAATTCCCCAATGAAAATAAAAACTTTAAATGGAAACTTTGAAAGATAGGAACCCCATTAAGTAAATTATAAATGGCACTACATTATTATTGAATACAAATAAAACTTTAACTTATACATGACACAAAAATTTTACTAGAAAGATGGAAATTGGTCAAAAGATGTGCAAAAAACATGTTCCTTTAGTATAAAGAAAGTTAAAGAGGAGAAAATAGACTTTAAGAATATAGTATAGTTACAAGAGAAAAAATAATAAACATATCTAAACAATCATTATGACTTCATTAATCTCAGACTATTTTTCAAATATTTTATGCTATATTGCCCCTAGGATATAAAAATGTCGCTGAATAATTCCCCATGTTTGACATGCATTGGTCATAACTGTAGGTAAGTCATCTTAGCCAAATAAATGAGCACTTTCCAATTCTTTGATCCAGCCCCTAAAAACATCCTCTGTCTCTTGGCAGGCGTCAGAGAATATTTGTTGAATATAATTGGAGGAATATGATTAGAAGCCATGCTGCTTGTTCTACATCTCAACTTGTTCTGCTATCATTTTTGTCTATTCTTCTGTACTGTGTTATTCTAAGATTTAATAAAGTGAAGTAAAATGAAGTAAAAATAAATAATTCATTTTACATATGAATTGACATAGGATTTAATAACACCATCTGCAGTTTGAAAACTAGATTGTATATCAACCTCTTCGTGTTGTTGCTCTCAATTGCATCTGTCAAATACTCCATGTGTATTTTATAATTAAGCTTCTGACATTTTATGTACTATTTTCAAAGTCTATTTTGGGTAAATTCATAACAAGAAATAGATGTCAAAAACAACATTGCACTAATTGGATTAATGTAACATTGCATGCATTGGATTAATTTTGCTGCCTGAACTTAAATAAAATTTTACCAAATTTTTCCATAAACATAAATTTGAATTTTCAATTTCAGTTAAATGAAATAAGCAATTTCCCATTCTATGATATTTATATGTTTTCCTCCAGGAAATACTAATAAAAAACTTGATCTTTATGCCCCAAGCTATCATAGTAAACTGCCTTTTACACTAGCTTGTTCATAAAAGCAATTAGCATGCCAAAGTAATCAATTAAAATTTACTTGAGATTCCAAATAGAATTATGAAGGATTTCATGTAGCAGTTTCTCATCATATTTCTTAACATTCACAAATGCTCCTTTTGCCCTAATGACCTACCTATCCAGCTAATCATTATTCAGTCTATCTTAACAACTTAGGTGTGGGTGTTTTTCCATTTAGTCTGGCATTCTCCCATAATTCAGCTCTCTCCATTTCACTTGGTTCACATCTGTTATGGGTTGAATTGTGTATCTGCAGTACCTGTCACTGTGACCTTATTTACAGAGTCTTTGTAAATATAATCAGGTAATAGTATCCTTATAAAAAAAAAA